GGACCAACATTCCACAGGCCACAATCAACAACCTGATCAACTCTATGCGAAGGAGATGTGTTGCACTGCGTGAGGCAAATGGTGGTCACACCAGATACTGACTGGTTTTCGGACGCCCCCGGACCCCTCAATACAGTAAAACTGCACAATTTATTTTTCAGCTCATGAAAAATGGGGGCAAAAACAAAAGTGTTGCATTTATAATTTTGTTCAGTGTACAAAAAATGTAAAACATACAATAATAGGTTTCATTACTGTAAAATACCTTCAGTAGTAAAAACATTTATTGCTATCACAACAAAAATGCATACTGTTTCTCCCAAAAAATGTAACAGTCTTTATATAATAATATATGTCTTAATATATATTTATACTTAATCTAATATAGGGGGCAGTGTATTTTGATTTGATAAATAGATTCTTGTTTACTTGTTTCAATAATTTTTTTTTTCACAGCATTTGCTATTAATATATAATTTAGAGGGAATAAAGTAATACTACACAATTATAAAAACCCTTTAATCTGCATGGTGGTGTATTAGTAATTTTTAGCATCATATTAGCATCATTTTAATAACTGTTTAAAGTAGATTGTCATTCTAAGTATTTAATAATTTTGTAATTTATGATTGACGTCAATCACCTCTGTAATTCTCATTCGGAGGCGGTGGTTGTCTGACTGTAATCCATCCAGACGGGAAGTGTTGGCCTGGTTAACACTGGTTACTGAGGTGGACGTCTTGGAATCTTCCTTCTTCTGGTTCTGGGTGAGCTTTAACCTCCGGTTCTGTGTGGCAGCATCCGGGTTTGTTCGCATTGAGACAAACTAACAAAAGAGAGAGGACAAAGACATAGGCAAAGGCATTGATTCTGTGTAGGATGTATTGGTTTAGAGGGAGAGTTGAATCTTTACAGTCTTTCAAATTTCAGTGTGTTTATTTCCAGAGAGCTCCAGGGGATGCAAAGTAAGCACTGTTCTCAATTATATGCAGGTGAACTTGCTAGGGATTTGCACAAATCAAATGCCAGAATGTGCCTTTCGTTGACCTCTACAATTCTTTCCCCATAGGGCTGGATCAGGCCTTACATTGCAGTACTTACTTTTGGCACAAAAACCAGACACAGGCAGTACTTACTTTTGGCACAAAAAGTCTCACACTAACCTTGGTGCTGCAGAAGATGATGACCAGTGCCACGATGCAGAACTGCACATTAGGCTGATCCCGGGTCAGGAAGGACACTGCTGCTCCAATGATACACATGATGCCCACATTATACACACTCATGCCGATGTACTTGCTGTCGTTCAGGGCTGGAATGCTCACGTTTCTGGTCTCCCAGGCCAAGAAACATCCAAACAGCTAGACAGAGAGAAAATGCAAAGAATTACTTACCATTACAGGTATAAGGGCAGTTCAAATCTTAGGTGTGGCAAACTTTAGGGTGTGCACAGTTACATGCAAATGTATTTTATGTCAGATCTAAGGCAGAATAAAATTACTGGTTATATGACATTTTCCACAGACAACCATTTTCACCTTCATCACTGTGTGCAGCCCTCAGTTTACAGTGATGAATCATAAAGCCAGAGAGAATGAAATGTGGCTGACTTATTTAGCACCCTAATGCCTCTAAAGTCAGCTAACAACACCTGCCCAACTTTCTCAGGAAGTCAGAGCAGTAATCAAAGCACCTTTGTGTGAGACTAGAGTGAACTCTGAGAAATATGACTCAGCTAACTCAATGACGCACACTCCGAGATTTGATTCTGCACCCACTCGCCTCAAATCTATTCAATCCTAATCCAATCACAGCCCGTCTCACTCTTTTTCCTCGTTCACCGACCCTCTCATTCTCTCTTTCTTCTCCTGTTTTACTGGAACACGTCGGCTGTAAGTGAAGCCCTGCTGATTTAGCAGCAGGTTTTCAAACATGACAAGAGGAGAGTAGAGGAAGTTCTGAAATGTCACATATCTGAGAATGAGAATGTGAGTGAGATGGCATATTCACTTGTCCACTATTACGATTTGATGACTAGTCTCATACTATAGCTTCAATTTAACATTGATCACTTCTTTCCCAACACGGCCTCCCACCAAATCTATCACAGACGAGAAGAGAGATGAGAGGTAATGGCCTGCCAGTCAACGGAACCACCTGCCGCTATTGCAGCAAGAACAAACTGACAAATCATTTCTACAGAGCACAAAGTTAGTAGGAGGGCAGGTTTTTATTGGAGGATGTTGCCACCATTGACTCAGAGATAATGGTCAGTGCTATGGTCAATTAACTGATTGGAAACATTTTGGTTTCTGGGGCACCTTACCAGTAATCTAAAGTGAGGTTAATTGGAAAGAGCAATCTCGCTCTCCTCCTATGGGTACAATGTGTCAAAATCCAGTCAGTGAGCTTGCTAGATTTTCATTTCCAGTAGGAAATACCTGTGCTTGCAAGGCAGCAAAAGAACAAAGTTAAGGTTTTCAGCAGTGTTTTTTTTTTTGACTGCAAGTCCACCCATTTTCAAAAACACAATATTTGAAGGTCCACCAATATACTTCTGGTATTATCCTATAATGACAAATCTGTTCATTTTCAAACATTGTTTAAAGAAATCTGGAGTAGTAATATAATAAATTAATTAATCAAAATTCCAGAGGTTTCAGTAACTCAATGTTCTTAATGAATCTGAGTAATTTGTGATTACAGGGTTGTTATTTATGTATGTATGTACATATGTATGTATGTATTTATTTATTAATTCATTCATTCTCACAAATAACACTTTCCACAAAGTAAAATCATTTAGAGCTTGACATATCTAAGAATTTATATTCATTATAAAAAAATATTTGAATGCCTAGAAAAATGCCATGGAAATCACACTTTTAAAATTCTGTGGTAAGACCGTGGGACTCTTAAAGCGGACATTGTATGCAAAATTCCCTTTTAAATGTTGTTTGTATATAAATGTGCCTTAACAGTATGTGGACACAACCACCCTACAATGATAAAAATCCATTCACTCTTTAATCCCCCCAAAAAACCTAAACTCAATTATCAAGCCGTTTTGATTTTCTGAGCAGCATGATGTCATACTGCTCTGTCCCCGCCCATGACCGCTGATAGACTGTGCCGTATTAGCATATTTCCGCCCTCAGCCAGTTGAACGCTGTCTGACATTTTCTCCAAGCTTGAGTAGCTGCAGTGACAACAATGTCTCGGAAGCGATGCAGGTGTATTGTAGTTGGATGTAAAAGTGAGCATAAGAGTCTTCATTTTCCCCCAACATCTGAGGACGCAGTGGATTAGTTTTGTTTTTGATGGTAATGCACCACCAAATACACACACAAAAAAGAAGAAGCAGAAGAGAGGGGTGGGATGAACTGCAGCTCATTATCATTTAAAGAGACATGCACCGAAACGGGTCGCTGCGAACATAGCATGTTAATACATGTAATGTCAGTTTACATCTTACATTTGCATTATTTTAAATCATTTTAAATCATTTAAGCAATCTTGCTCCCCTCTTGAAAGTTTGCTGAGGCCTTCTTGTGGGCCTCGGCCCCTGGTTGAGAACCAGTGATTACAGTAAGCTTTGGTTGTAGACTTTGGATCAGTTTAAACATATATGCAGACATACAGACAAAAAGACATATTAAAGCAATGAGCCGCTTGAAAATGTGTGTTACAGTGATTTCGTCATTGTAAGGGGTGTTCTTAAGCCTAAAACCCACCTAACCGTGATAAAGTCATACTGCAGACCTCAAGTGGCTTGCCTTTTTTTTCATTTTGATTTGCAGCTTTAACACAACAGTGGCAACTTCAATATGAAAAATAAAACATTGTTCCCTAACAAATATCCAAGAACTCTAATTTGTGTCCACTGTTATAATATCGTCTATAGGTAATGAACATTAGTTAACTGCAGAGAAAAAAGAAAGAGGAATATCAGTAGAGTGTTGCAGTGCAGGCATGGCATGGCATTTGTATTTCCTGATTTACCACAAGAGACTCAGAATCCAATATTGGGAATGCATTTTCATGACAGTGACTGTGAGGTATTATATGTTATAATTTACCAAATATAGAAGGAAGCGGTAGAATATTCAGACGCCGTTGTCGGCGGGAGCAGATGGCGATCATGTTGACGCTCTCTAGAATGTTCTCACTCACCATAAGGAGGCCTTTGTAGGCATAGACAATCCCCAGCCAAATGGTCATGTGCGTGTTCTCACAGTGCTCCAGGAAGGGCCGGATTGCGATGTCTCGTCCCTGAGGATCCGCCTGTGGAGACACAGTGAGGAAACCAATGAGTGGAAATAATCCTGGCTTTAAAAACACCTTTGTCACTAACAACAATAACATTGAGCCCGGGTTTATTTGCCTTAACATAAAGGTTGATTTGGGGTTGAATTTATTAAGAAAATCTGCATTTAGAGTTAGAAGTAAATTTGCAAATTGCATTTGTACACAGTACCAATACTGAGGCTAAGGGCATTATGGGAACTGGGATCATTTAATCTCCCATGGGAGACCAACCTTAATGGACTTTCACAGAGATAGTAAAAATAATATAGTCACCTCTACAGGATACCACTTGAGTGTTAACGATTAACAATAACTCTTTATGGGACAGGCATCGATTGCTTGATATTGATCGAGATATTTACAGTCCTGATATGCAAAGCAGGTCAGGACTGGACTCTTAAAGGAGGCATGTGAAAGAGAGAAGACCTCGACTGAGTTCCCCTCAATGTACTGGGTCTAAAAGTAGCCAAGCTCTAACCCAATTTCTGCTGCCCCAGTTTGGAAAACCTCAAGCTTGCCATGCAACAACCCGGACACAAAAATCGACAGGGATCCAACCTCCAAACGCATCCCTAAGTCTCCCAGTTTAGTCAACACCCGCGGCTTTCATCCGCCTCTTGTGTGGCTATATTTGCATGATTTGAGCATGGCATTAAGGAGTTCACCGCTCAGAAGACATCTTCACAAAGTGACAGAAGGAGAAAACTGGGCCAGTCAATGCAAGAAGCTCCATGATATATTCCATGAAGCGATGAATCCTAGAAGTCAAACTGTCAGACAATTTTTAAACTCAGCCAGAGAACAGATCAAAGAGGAAAAGCTGATGACAGACCTCTTGAAGTCTTAGAAGTAGTTTACTACATGTTTATGGGAAAATTGTTGATGTGATGTAAAGATGCTTCTACAATAGCAACAAAAGAAATAGAACAAAGTAATGAAATAACTTAAAGAATAGCTGCCTATTAAACTGACTATTTTGACATCAAAACTTAAAATAATAATTTATGCATTTAGCAGACGCTTTTATCCAAAGCGACTTACAGTGCATTTAGGCTATACATTTTTACCAGTATGTGTGTTCCCTGGGAATCGAACCCATGACCTTTTGTGTTGCTAACACAATGCTCTACCACTAAGCCACGGGAACATTAGCAACAAAATCAAATAATATATTTCCCTACACAAAATTGCTTCTGTTAAACATTCAAGTGTTCCATCTGGCCTCAGAAACCCACAACTAAAAAGATAAAATTTGCTTAAGAAATGCTTATTTCCAACTGCACAATAACAAGACCTCCACTTTCATCATAGCTTAAGCTGTAGTTAGTCGAGCTGTGTGGTGTTGCCAGGCAACAGTCGGTGGGTTGGGCTTAAAGAGAGTGCTGGGCGCTCTGTTATTTTATATATATATATATATATATATATATGGTTTGGGGTCGATATGTTTTTTCTTAAACAGTTTTCTTTTCTTATTTTTTTCTTCATATCTTATTCTAACTAAAGCTGCATTTATTTGATCAGTAAAATGTCTTGGTTCCCTGAGAAGGGGAATGAGACACTGCTGAGACACTGCCTCCGTCATGAGTCTAAGCACGACAATGAACTTGACATTGGCAAGCGGAAGCCTATGACGTCACAACTGGTGCAGCCGAGAAGGGGAATGAGACATGGACTTCTCAGGGAACTCATGGTTCCCTGAGAAGGGGAATGAGACACTGCTGAGACACTGCCTCCGGCATGAGTCTAAACACAATGAAATTGACATTGGCAAGCGGAAGCCTATGACGTCACAACTGGTGCAGCCGAGAGTATAAAAGAGCACCTGTGAAATACGTCATCCACTTCTTGTCTGAAGGAGATGTGCAGGAATTCCTGAAGCAAGGCAAAGGGACACAGCGTCTCGTTCCCCTTCTCAGGGAACCATCGTTACATGCGTAACCTGAGAGGTTCCCTTTCGAATGGGAACTCGTGCTGCATCCCCTAGAGGGCACTATGGGGAACGGTATACCCACACCGCCATGCTGAAGGGATTAGTGCTTTATTGGCTGAGCTAAGTCAAAGACCCAAAGGAGTACCCCTGCACCAGCAACGCAATTATAGGCCGGCAAGAAGCCTAAATACGTTCTTATTCAGGCCAGCATCCAAGGAGGCTCACAGAGAGCCTAACACTCAGAGCTAACTGGCCTGCAGGGTGGAGGCTTAAATACAACATACATACACATAAATACTCAAATTAGAGGCGGCCTAGCAACACTCCATACTAAGGTCAGTAGCCAATAGGGATGTGCATCTCATGACTCAGGCCGATACGATACGCATCTGGATGCATAGCCAACGATACGATACATTAAAGATACATATGAAGCAGCTACCGATGCGATGCGATACGATTCACCCCTATTACAATGCAGTGCGATCCGATTTCGATTCGATTCAACACAATGCGATCCGATGCAATATGATGCAATGGAGAAAATATGATCACTTTTAATGCCTCTAGGCCTGCTTCATAAAACAAGTTAACCAAATAAGCCAGGCTTATTTCAGTTAGTGTGACTCATTGTCAAAGGACTTGGTTCCATAAAGCAAATTTAACATAGGCCTAGATCCAGCTCAGTCACTGTGGCAACTTATGCTGGGAAACGAACCTGGTCTAAAGCAGGCTAATTGTCAGGCTAAGCTAAGTTCCTCTACTGACCAATAGGAGCACAACGATATTACCACTGTCTCACATACTATTATTTGCCTTTTTTTTTTTTTTTTTTACAGTTTCTAGCCAAGCAGAAAGGCTGTCTCTGGTTTTATGACAGCTGTACCGTTGCAGAACAGATAGCAGAACATTAGAACATTACAATATAAAATTGCTCTTTAAAGCATTAAAATAACTAAATTAAAAGTTAAAATCACTGAATTAAAA